CTTACACAATGGAACGCCAGAAAGAGCGAGCAGGGGAGCAAGTGCGTAATGACCGGCGTGTGCGCTAGTTAGAGAAACGGCTTCATTTTCATTTGCCGATCGAGGCACGCTCGCTTGTTTTGTTGTTTTGCGTTTTTCCACTTACCGAGAGGCTTAAACGAACTTAGACGATACTTAATGAATAAGGGAAAATAAGTTTGGTTTTAAACAAAGCCAAATGAATTGTCGATTGAAATAGCTAGCATCTTCTCCTTCGAATGGACGACGCTTATTGAAACGAGTTCTTTTGCAATTTGAATAACCTTTTACGAAGGTTGCGAAGTAAGTACGATTGTAAATAAGAAATGTTTTGTTGCATTATCTAATATGCTCAAAAATGAAAATTGATTTGTTCACCATTACGCTTATTTAGACAAATTGACCAGAAATAATTCTAGCGAGGTTTGTAAATAGGAAAGTTCTAGCCTCTCTATTGCACGTTTTGTTGTACTTAGTTTGCGCTCGACTGAATTTCTAATCAATTGCTGATAATTTAATTGCGAACAGTATTTACGTTAAATATTTAGTGAAATGAAAATCATATTCAAATATCGTTATTCGTAAAGAGATTTATTTTTCCTTTGCTTGAACATAGTGGATATACTTATTTATCACAAGGATGAAAAAGCCAAACTATTTGTTGAAATTTCTTTGGAAGTATATGAAGTGTTAAAATTAGATAAACCAACATCAGTCTATTTAACAAGATGAAATTAGTCTAATGTAGATAGAAGACAAAGATTTTTTGTGGAATTCGTTAAAAACACTGATAGTTTTTTTACTATTTTACAAAAGAATTAAGGGATTCATAAGATTTATTTAGGTATGCATACTTAATGCTCCCCAATATTTGGGGGAACGAGAAATGGAACTAAGGCGCACGGATCAATAGAGCCCTTTTACACTTTTTCGATGTGTTCGCAGGGTGAAGTACAAACGGCGTTACATTACGAAATTTGGTGAGTTGAGGAGAGTTTTAAAATGAACATAGTTCCAAAATAACATCTTACAAATGTTAAAAAAAAAAGAGAAAAAAAAATGGTTGGAACTTCTAGTGGGTTAGCGGCGGGAATCGATAGTAGTTTTCTGAAGGGAAACAGATTCAGTATTATTCATATTGGCTTCACAGCGTCATACTTGACAAGAACTGTTGTAGAAGTAACTAATTATTACTGGGATTCTTCGTGTTTTAGAAAAGCAGTGTAGTATTTTAAATATAGCCAGAAAACAGCGAAAGAAAAAACTGAGTAAATTAAGTTTGCAGATGAAAAACGAATGGAACAACAATATCTGCAGAAACAACTTTCAGTGATCTAGTTATGTGCAAGTTGAAATCGATGATTTGCTTGTCTTGTGGTTTTGCCGTTTGAGCCCCTCTTAGAAACAAAGCTCGCTCCGGACAGTCAATTTAACGGTTATTTTATCATTATTATTATCATTAGGGATATGGTTGTTTTGCCCAAGATTGTGGTTAAAATAGTAGGTTTTCCGCTTATTTTCGAGCGAAAAACATCAACTTTGTTATGATACCGATCAGAGAATCTTATAATCAGTTCAAAGCGTCCAGTCAGAAAAAAGGGAGCGAAATAGTAAACTTTGTGATAGACCTAGAGGAGGAAGAGAATTAATGGGACACTGTTTTTAGTAAAAGTACGCAAAATTATTTAGATGCTATTGGATAGCTGTTATACATAAGAATATTTAATTTTCGTAGAGCTCAGCATGAGTGAGAAATGCATGGAAGTTTGTTCCACTGAGTTACAATATTAATATTTAGAAGAAATTGTGATTGGTTATTTGATAAGTAAAAAAAAAACAAGCAAACAAAAAAAAAAGCAAAAAAAAAACAAAACAAAACAAAATACAAAATTAAAAAAAGAAATACAAAGTATATTATAGAAATAAAAATTAGTGTATTGATTATGATCTGAATTATTTAACACTTGAAGCCACTTCACTAAGGAGAGAAAAATTTAAGTACCTGGTGTTTTAGAAACGTTGTAGTCGTAGATTAGAATTATGGATCCATGTAAGTCTCCGAGAAACTGCGCACCTACCCCTCCCTTACCCCAACAACAGTCAACTGATAACAAGTTAGGGTTAATGTTGGGTTAGGGGAGGGGTGAGTGCGCAGTTGCTGTGATACTGACATTGGTCCAGAGATATAAGATACTCAATATTAATTACAAGTGTGGTACGTCGTATAAATTGCTGCATCTTTCCCACGGAAAACGAGCCTTATCATTAGCGAATGGGCGAGATATGTATAGTCGTTTGTTGACAAGTAAGTTTATATTTTACAAGAAAAGGAGTGCTTCGTCACAGTACATATGATGTAAGAATATTTGATTGCTAAAGAAAAAAGGTTAAAATGATTTATTCAAGAGGAGAACTGTTATTAAAATTATACTTATTTTATTAAATTAAGTAAATATTTTTGGTAATTAAACGTTTTCAATTTGTATGATCTTTAAATGGCAGTATTTTACTGAGGCTTTGTTGTAAGAAAAATAAAAAACTTTCAGTCTTTAGAATCTCCTTGTCATATTATTTCACGGTGTCAAGTAAGGCGTCTTACAGTGCGAGGTTCACGGTGACTTAACGGCTAGCTCTTCGTGCAAAGTGTTAAGCGGAATAGGACTGGCACGAGCACTATCTGAGCGCTTCTGGTGCGTTATGAAGTCGGCAAAATTTTCCGTGCCAGGAGTCCGGATCAAAAGCACTAGGTTCGAGGTCTAGCCAGATCGCCACAAGTCACTATCCTCACAGTGCCTTGCCTCTTTCGTAGTGTCAGGGAAATCTGCATATCTGACAGAATGCTGGGGGCTGACTCGCGCTCGGCATGCGTGCGTTCGTAGACCATAGAAGGCTTTTCATTCGTTCACCTTTACAGGTAGTTCCTCGGGATGATTTCCATTCGCGGCACGAGTGTATCAACGCCCTCTAAGAAGGTTTGAGGCCTTAAGCAAAGCGAGCCAGTGATAGGTCTGCGGTCGCACTGATGACAATGAGGGCCTGCTTGCAAGCTAACCAACCGCCAAACGGCCTTTGTAAAAGTAGAAACTGAAACAACTACAGGAAAAGTATTATGGTCGCTCTTTTTCTTCTCTTCGTTTGGGTTATGTTTATATCTTCATTTCCCTGATTAAATACCCTTGATGTCAACAACTTTGTTTCAAAACTTTTATTACAATTGTCTTTTGGGTAAGACTTTCAACCTTGTAACTCAACAAATATGACTTCAGCAAAGGGAAAATGTCCAATGCTGCAAGCCTCGCAGCCGGATGCTCAAAAATTTAAAGACAGATCAGTAGAAATCAGCCTTGATTATTGATCAGAGTTTTTCATCCATTTCATAAAATTTCAATTACATAAAATGCCAAGACTGCAAACAGTCCCTACTTTTTCGGCGCCCGTGTAAAAATAAAAATAACAAACAAAACAAAAAAAGATGGATGTTAGCGAGCCGCGCAGAACTCTGGGAGTGAGCGCACGGAAAGTGGGGTCCTTACGTACACCTCGCTCCGTGAATTCCGCGCGGCGAGCTGAAATATCTTTCATTATTATTTTTTTTTTCAAGTGAGTTTCTTGGACTCTTCCGACGGACTTCTCCGAAAAGGAGGGCTGCTCGTAATCTTACAAGTCGAACCAGGGTCTTTCTGTCGATCGTCGTCGTCTTAGCATCAAGGAGCACAGATGCTTTACAGAGCAGAGGTTACTGACGATGCCCATAAGAACTCTTACTACCGTCTGTTTGGCCTCCTAGTAGGCTCGAGTGTTTGGGTCCCCCCCTTACAGCCTCTTTTTCGGGTACAGCCACCATCGGCAGCCACTCATGTTAATAGATATTCAAACCCCTGCAGGGAGGCAAAGCAATAAGAAGGAAAATTCTTCAAGAACGTTTCTTCTTTGAGACTCTCTTGGTGTTACTGTAGGTGTGGTCACGTTGAACGAGCTCAAGATTTGGAAGAAAATCACCCTTGTCCCATTGCGTCTCGACAGATACCATAGAGGGTTTTATTTCCCCTGCAAGCTCTTCTTCAGTTTGGCACGATGTTTCTGAAGTGCTAGGTTTGTTTTGCCGATTAATGTTGTGTCCAAAGTTCATGTTCACACGTGTCCCTTCTTTACACTTGATCAGAACAATCACCCACTTTTCCGTTTGCCCCTGAGTTGTGTTCACGTTATAAGTGATCATGGTACCGTTGGGTTCTTGTCCGTTGCAAATACTGGGTAATGCGAACACATCTTGGGTACCTGTTGGATGTTTTTGGTGGCTGGTACAAACGTCATTCTCGGTTTCTGTTCGGGCTTGCTCATTAACGGTGCTTAAGTCGCTCTCGGTGTCTGTTGCGATCTGCTTGTGGCTAATACCTACGTCATTCTCGCAAATTGTTCGAGTTTGATCGTTATCAGTGCAAGTATCGTTGTTGTAAGCTCGAGCAAACTCAGGCAGAAGAGACTGAATGCTAAATTCACCGTCTATATTTTCAAACTCCATCGGGGATTCGCGCTTCACAACTTGTGTGTTCAGTGGTGCTGATGGCTTCATGTAAAAATGTGGTCCGAGTAATTCTTTCAAAATCTATAGAAAAGAAAAAAGAACGATTGAACAAGTGAATGAGCGAGTGAGTGAAGTCACACAAATGTTCTTCTTCAGTTTGTCATCAATTACTGGTATCAATCTATTAACAACTATCTTAGAAACACCTATTGATTTCTATCAATTATTTGGTTTGAGCAATTACGTTTGACAGGAATACAAACACAAAAATTGTACAAAATCCCGATGCTAAGTTTGACATTAATTACAAGTATGTCATAAACATTTCCTTTTTCAAACGATCATTTAGCTGATATATAATGGTAATAATAATAATAATAATAATAATAATAATAATAATAATAGAAATGATACTAGTAATAATATTTATAATAATAATATTAGTGTATAACACACAAGTTACTAGAGCTTTTGGATCATGCTGATTGGCTAGTTTGGAAGTGAATAGCAAGTACTCTTCACCTTCAGTAGCCAATAAGACAAAATCACATGTCAAGAGTTTAATTTCAGATCATTTTTCAGTGCATTGAAAGAAATACTGGTATCTGGTATCTGGTTTCTGGTATCTGGGTGGAATATACTAAAATAATTATTTACCTCTGTCAATGTTGGTGAAAGTGCTGAATATTTAACTCCACTTTGAAGAGTAATTGTTAATTATGCCAATATAATAATAATAACAATGGTGTTTACAATCATCATTAGTAACATCATTGTTGTTATTGCTTTGTTGTATGTCCCATGATGTATGGCAGTTCATCTTTAAGTCAAATTCAAGGTTATAATTGATAAAAAAAATGATACCTAAAACCTTTAGCCTTTTCAACCCTACAATACTTGTAAGAGAGACAAACAACTAATTCCTTTTTAACCCTTTAACTCCCAAGATCTGATAGTCAATTCTCCCCAGCAGCTACAACATATTTCCTTTTAAATTAATAACAAGAATTTGATGCTGGATCAAGACAACAACCTATACTTGATATGTTTGAGTATTCTCATTACCTGTTTGCTGGATAATGTATGGATATTGTGGGGAGAAGTGAGATGTTAATCACTTCAGGGAGTTAAAGGGTTAAGTAACATCGCTGAACTAAGATCATGAGAAGAAAGGAAACAATTGTCAATGGAAGAAGCTAATTCTCCATGTCAGTACTAAGGGAAGTGTACAGTAAAGGGTTGAAGAGAAAATTTTCTAGCAAAAAAACTAGAAATAACAAAACAGGACCCGTTACCTCATCTTTTTCTTTTCTCTTTTTTCGCTCTTCACTAACAACTCTTTTCTTGACCTTGGACCTAAAATTATTATGACTGAATAATGTGGGAACTGATCCTTCTAACAGTGGTGGTTTTGGCCTTTGATCCATTAGCTCTGCCTGTGGAGCGAAAAACAACAAAAACAACTAAAAAAAGTCAGAATATAGCTTGTCTGTCAAAGGCTTCATGCCTACGCAAGCTGTTATAAGAAAATCAGTCTAGCAGCTGCACTTAAAAGCTCTATTTTTAGCTATTAGATAAATACCACCCTCAAATAAACACTACCTTGAATTAAGTGTTGTAGATGGGAGGAAAATTACATATGAAAGCCACTGAGGGGCAATAAGAAATAAGCAAAAATTACATGTAGTTGGGGATCATAACTCACAAGTTGTTAAGCAAGAGTCTTGATGGAGCTTGAAGATTTATATATACATGAAGGCAATAAATTTAGAATTCAATCTATTCCGCATGGGTTTGCTTGTACTTACAACAAAAATGCTTAAAATGCTAAGAATGGGAAAAATCAATCTAGTACTTGAGAAGCTTTTTGCCTGACCCTGATCCTGTGTCTCCATAAAAAAATAACAGCATTTGTTTGTTTGTTTGTTTTTGTTTTTTTTGTATTTTTCTACATATTTTTTTATTTTTTCCTGTTTTTAAACATGTTTTGCTCTTTTCTTAATCTTAATTCTGGAGATCCCAGACACCTTTGCACAAACACAAGGATCCAGTAACCTGCAACTTATTCATTGGAAAGTTGCATGTGAAATATGCATTCAAAATCAATTAACACTTTTCAAGAAGTTGTCATTATACATATGAAGGTTTCTCTCCTTTGCCAGGTTACCTCACACCAACTCACCCTCATCAAATATAACAAAGTTGTGCCCATCTGAACCAGTTTTCTACCAAATCTTTCAAAACATGGTTCATATCTAGAAATTTCATGATATACTTAGGTCAACCAGCAAACTAAATTCAAAATAATCACAAAATCAGTCCACCTGCACATACTGGGAAGCTGTATTACTCTCAGGCGCAACTGTATAATTATGAATTACAAAGCCGCTAATTGTCACACTGTGAGGTCAACAGTGGTTTGACAGAATTTTACAGATATGTGAACAAGCTACCTTCCCTAAGACTTTTCACTAACCTAAAAACTTCGGCAGCATTTAATCACAACTCTCTTTGAATTGTACTGACTTTTGTTACATTGTCTATAATTACAGTGAGTTAAACGAATTGACGATAAAGTGGAGCGATCTGACTTGGAAAGAGCAGCCCATGGAACAAAGTAAACGAGCTCAATTCTGCATACCTTTATGTCCCTACCAAAGCACTCAGGTTCGAAATGATCCGAGCAAACGTAGCTTCTGTCCAAACGTAAAGGAAGCCTTGTCCTCCTCAAGTTCACCAACCATTTTTGCAAAAGTTCTTTGTCTTCGAGGGGTAATCTGTAAAAGGAAACCCACCGTTTTCTTCTCGACGTACTAATGTTGGTGCAACCAGTTGCAATACACGCCGAGGGCATTTTAGAAAAGGTACGAGAATTCGAATTTTACAGTAGGGAAAAAATAGCGTCGAACGTTTAACAACATAGCGCCTTAATTTGCCGCACAAAAGAGGTTAATATGACGTCATTAAACTCGCTCCCAGGTTTTTAAAAAAATGGCGGCCCGCGGTATTCACCAGTAAATATTCATCGTCAGGTGGGGAGAGGATTTTAGCGGG